AGCAGCCGGGCAAAGCTGAATCGCCGAAGGAAATCAGGTAATCGGGTGAGTCGGTGGTTACATTATAGATTCATCTAGGTGTTCATGGAAATTTGTATTTTCATCACGTTCCTTTGCCACTATGTATAATAATTATCCTTGCTCATCTTCTATGGTTATCTTACATCACTTGGAAGTGCAAATGAACTTGAGTTTACTTTCTAGTCACATCCAAACATGGCTTGGTATGGTAATCTCTATTACCGTCATTTTATGCATTCTTCTTCATCAATTGAACATACGTTGCAACCTGTGACCATGCATTTCATTCATGTAGCAAGCATATTTTAAATATCTTACTTTCCAAAAACTATGGTCAAAGAATTCCATTTTACTGTGATACAACAATTTCATTAGAAAATCCCCTCCAATTATCTGATTGGAGAACAGATAGAGCTCAGCTCTTTTTGAGTTATAGGCTGCTACATGTTTTGACAAATAATCATGAACAAAATTACTTCTTGAGTAATTTTGTGGAGATTATCACGGATTTCTTTTCTTTCAATTGATTCACTTGTTGAGTTAATTCTTCATATCATGATGAGGTTATGTGCTCTGAATTTTCTTTCTTTGAAATAAATAATTTAGAAAACACCTCATAAATTTCTTCTATCTGTCATTTTTGTACATTCGTAATTGCAACTAAACACACTACATTCTGGATGTGACATCAACGACAAAACACTGTTGTTTAATACATTACAGTATGAACAAATTCCATTTCACAGTAGCTGAATTTATTTTAAAATGATTATCCGAGAACATACTGTTTAAAAAAATAAACAACCAACAACAGCAGGGCCTGAAAGTCAGGGTGTTCAGGTCATTCCAAGGTCTTTCATTCTTTCTGCAGTTCGCTGGAGAAGAAAAAGACGGGAAGGTCCAATGACTTGCACAGGTTTATTACCTATCCACCCATGAAATAAAAAAGAATGATAGGAAATAGCAGGGAATGGACGTAATCACCCAGGCAAGAGAGAGACACCCAGACACATGCACACACACACACCTCAATGAATGTAGTACAAACCATGTTCATTTTGTTTCAACATGAAGTGACAGTGGTATCATCAGTTATAATTTTTTAATGTAGATTGTAAAATTGCAATTAGAGGATTTATTTATTAACAATGAAAAAACTTCCAAAACCTTGAATATGAAATAACGTTAACAACATTAGATTGAATATATTAAAAAATTGACATTGCATCCCCACACACACACACACAGTAATCAACACGTCACACCAACACTGGCGCAAGCATGTTACTGGAGCCAGTGCTGTGGCTAATTCATGGATTAGGTGGATAATGTCTCAAATATTCATCAGGTTCTATACAGCTTCATTAAAACGCCTGGGTAGTGTATAAATTAACAAGCCAATTAGCCATATTTCAGACCGGCCACAATGTATATTATTAATACTTAATTTGTAATTAGTTCATATCATTTATATGAATAACACATATAGCATATTTCAGAGCTTTAGATAATAAAATCAAGATATAATTAGTTAAAATATGATTACTCTAACTGTAGGCAAAATTATACTGTCAAAGAAGTTGATTTGGTCTGGTACACATCACATTATAAAATGATTCACAAACAATGGCACATCAAAAATGAATAATTGGACAATCTATATAATTTCTTGATCTTTAAACACAAAATTATCACAGACAATTGCCTTCTCTTAGTCAAGCTCCACAACCAATAGTTATAATCAATTTTTTCCTCAAAGTCAATGAAAAACAGTGACTCATTCCTTTTATTAAATACTACATGTTCATTATCATTATCAAGTCACAACACTAACAATTTTTTTCTCTAAAATCTGTAAAGTATGTCTTATTCTAGGTAAGTATTTTTACTCCTATTTTATGATATATTTATTTTTAGTGTAGTTAAATTATTCACACACATATTGTTAATTACTTTTTGATCTATGTGTTAACTAGTAATTTTGTCCTGTAGTAATGTTATATTATTTTATAAAGATATAATTAGAGCTCTAGGGACAAGTTACATACTATGGCACAAAAACTAAGTTTCAAATAATTCCATAAATCAGTACAACGGGCATCTTTTAATTATTAATTTCTTGGAATACTTGGAGACTTAATAGTTCAAGTTCGAAGTATTCAGTCACTTAAAATCAATCCTAAAAAAGGAAAGTGCTGTTTGTTCTATTGATTGCCCAAATCAGAGTGACTTAGCACTATTTTCATGAAATGAATGCTAGTGTTTCTTTCAACAAAAGTATGTCCACTTACTCAAGATAAATGAAAGTAACTATATAACAAGTAAATAGTCTATTCTAAAACACATTGAAATGTTTATTCCAAAAAGGGACAACACTGACTTTTTACTATACAGCAAATTAATTTTATTCATAGCTAGTACTATAGCTGAGACTGGCATTCATCTGATAACAATTGTGACAGGTAGCCTTGGTGAACTGAAGGGAAGAAAATCCCCAACATCTTTTATCACACAAGCACTCTAAGGAAGAGATTGCAAACATGGACTTCATGTTCCCAAACAACGATGAGATTTTTATGGATGACAATCCATCATGTCACCAGGTCACAATTGTTCGTGATATGTTTGAAGAACATTCTGGACTAATCACGCTAACGATTTGGCCACCCGGATTGCTTGACATGAATCCCATTAAATATATATGGAATATAATCAACAGATTCATGCACAAAATCCTGCACAGGCAACACTTCTGCAACTATGGATGGCTATAGAGGCAGCATTGGCTCAATATTTCTGCAGAGAACTTCCAACACCTTATTTAGTTCACGCCACATTGAGTTGCTGCACTTCACTGTGGAAAAGGAAGTCCAATATATTTTGAGGTATCCCATGACATCTGTCACCTCAGTGTATAACTATTCTGTAAGATGTCTGCATCCACGGAGAAATGAATTTTTTGCAGGTAGTGGTGCCATTTCGTGGCATACATACCTGGGAAATATATGATCCTTAGAGACAACCATGAGATACAAGAAAAAAACAGTTTAGCAACTTTTGATGTGGCATAGTATGTCATTACCCTAAGCTTCAATTATAATAAACATGTAAAATTTAGTATAACAAATGTGTTATATTTGATGGTCCCTAAATAAAGGGGGGGAAAATATTACTAAGAGAATCATTGTTGTTTCACCACCTTCCAAAACTGAAGTATTGCATTCACAACATAGATTTTCAATTTCTCTTGGTACATATTCTAAATTCTGAATATTTAAGAAACTTCCATTGACACTTTTCTAATGCTAATTGAATGCTCTTACTGTTCACAGACAAGATTATTGAAGCATAATCTACTTTTGAATGAACACAATGCAGAACTACCACAGGAAATTTATGACATAGTCCTATGTAACCTAGCTCAATAGCATACTCTACAAATTCAGTCACAACATTTATAATTACCTCAATGCGAAGTTTAATAGAAAACTGGTGATGAAATATGACACGTGTTTTTTTGAAGTAGTGGAACAAACTCAAGAAGAACATTTACACCATATTTAATTTAAGTAGATCTAAATAATCCCATTACTGTACATTTGTGAGGATTAAAAAGTAGCTTGTGATTTAATATAAAAAATAATAATAATAATAATAATAATAATAAAAGATCAGAACTTTGTAGAAAACATGTAAATAATGAAAATGGAATTGACTGATAACTGTATTAAATTAAATACAGATAACTTAAAATATGAGGCCAAATAATGACTGATATTGAGCAATTTTGGTTTCTGTCTTGTTATATATCGTGATCAAGAATGTCAAAAGCCTTTGAAAAATTAATTAAATTAAATTAAATTTACTTTTCTGTTTCTAGACCCGTTAAGACGGCTCAGGGCTGTTGACTCTCCATTGTATCTGACTGAGGTTCTAAGGTTTAAGTCCTGATATCAATGGATTATACATGCTAGTTAGACAGCTAGGCTGAATTCAACTACTCTCTGTAGGGAATTCTAAATGCTGCATGCTCTGATAGATAGTTTCCTGTGCTATTTCAATATTATCAATACCAGGTGAATGCAGGAGCAATACCCTAACAAATGGGCCATGGACTATAAATTATTCCTTCCACACCTACAGTACCACTCGTCAAGAGCTTAGAAATTTTCATAACTGGAGGCAATATCTGGAGAAGAAATCTTCTGTAACCTGACATGTAGTTTGATACTGGACCACACATTCTATCAGAAAAGGGACACCACCATCTCCAGAGATATAACAAGCACTACTCTAATGAGACTAATTACCTCAGCAATAGATGCCCCTGGAAATGAAAAATAACTAATCAATTCATATTCAGTTACCAAGGTCAATCTACCTTTCATAAAACCATGGTATATTACATTTCAATTGCCAAACTATCTGAAAATCCTGTTATGCAACTAGTGCACATTGTAAATATTTTAATCTCTGAACAATGAACAATAATTCTTTTGTCAGAAATTTTACTGACATTTTTAATTCTTTTTTGTGTATTATTTACTTCCTTGTATTACACAAATTTTAAGCTTACGCACTCTCTCAGAAACATTGTTGTATGTAACCGACCAATAACTTATGTTATCAATGTCGTGTGTACTTAAAAACTCTTTAATTACCTCTTTTTTTATTAATAAATTTTTTTGCAGACATGTTTGTATCGGAAATGCCAGGGCTGGTGTATGGTCCACTGCTATTTAACTGCGTTCTTTGTTTACATTTGGATAATTCATAACAGTATTTTATGAGAGAATACAGTATATCCTTAATTCAATGAAAGACTATCACAGAGAACACAACACAAAAATGCCACCATTTCAAATGGCAGAACTGCCATTGAAACACAAAGTTTCTTTGTTATACAAATGATGATCATAGAACTGTTGACATAATATCGAAATGCGGAGCATCCCACAGTTTAATTTAAATATGAAAAGCCTCATTGTTGAAATATAACAAAAAAGAATTCACACCTTTTTTCTTACATAAAGTATTGGGCAAAAGAAAGAGGTATTCGGAAATAAAGATGACAAAACACACAAGTTCCCAACATTTATGATTTTTATTATCAATTTCTCTGCTGTGACAAATTTATTTTTGTCTTGAGAGTTGAGATTAAGAAAGAAAACTCCACCTACTAATTTTTAGACAAATCTTTTTAAATTGATATTTTATATACAATTCATTTGAATTTGAAAATTTCAAATTCTCCTTGGAGTTCGAATTAAAGAGAGTCCACTGTACAACTTTTCTCACTGAGTGAGACCTAAAACTATTACTTTATTATGAACAGAAACCTGAATTTCTTTATTGTCAAATATTAACAACTGCAACATTAATGTCACAGTAATAACCAAGATAATTTAAATAAAATACTGAAAATCAACATGAGCAACAGTAACTTGGCTTTCCAGCTTTGAAATCATTACCTGACGACAACAACAACATATTATTCTTACTTTTCATTAAAATTCATGAATGAATCACATGAATAAATATATCTTGCAACAAACAATGCATCAACTCAATAAATTAGTATAATCAAGCACAATTTACTCAATTTCTTTTGCCAGACGTTCATGAACCGTATCAGATACAAATCCTGAGGGATCTGCTTTATATTCCGGATTTTCCCATAACTTTGTAAGCACAGCAATATCCTTCAACCTATTAAAAGAAAATACAAATGAATTAGATGGCAGCTGGGAGAGAGACAAGTAATCAAAAAGGAGTCACGACTACAAATAAAAGATACATCAATATTATAAGACAATGACATATCAATTCTTCATCTTTTCAAATACTATTGTATTTCATATATTAACCCTTTTCCAGGCAACTAATTTTGATGATGCAATCAGGCAAGCAAGGTCCAGCAGACCCAGGAATGTCTGCGACAGAATTATGCTTACAGGTGTAATATTTTGACGCGAATAATAAAACAGAACTCTCTAATATAATTGTTTAATATAACATAACCTTTCAAAATACTTTACATTTGTTTATTAAACAGCTTTTCTCTTATTATAGATCGCACACACTGTTTCCCTGGTTATGTTCATTACAGACAGGTTTTGAACCGATGCTACATCTCTTTGTTTATTATTTCCTTCTCAAGGGCACAATTGGCATCTTTTTTGGCATTGTTATAAATTTTCTGAGTTGTGGAAGCTCCTTCTTCCTCAAAAACGTGTGTGATTGACAGGCAACACTTGTTATTCAATTGTTTGACTGTCTTCTTACATTTTGTGCACAAACCAAATTCTTTGCAATATCAACAGAAAAATTGTACGATTTTACGTTTTCGAACATTCAGTTATGGTCAGCATTCATATCGCTGTGCAGATTTCCCGTAAAACCTAGACCGCACAAGATTTCAAAAACTCACACTCATGACTTGCCTACATAGTAACTCGCATCAAGGAGTAGATCTTAGAATCTCTCACATGTAATGTCAGATAACTTCCCGATGAAAAGATGTTGTGCAACTTGGCATTCGTTCATCCCTTGGGCACAAAGCGGACATTAAGTAATCGTCCAAACAAAATCAGAAAATGCAATATTACACACAGATTTAGATACCTGGGTCCAATGGACCCCACCTGTCCAGTTGCAGCTGAAATAAGATGAAGATTTTTTAAATTTATTATTCAGTTTTACTTTTGTAAAATGGCTGCAGGAACACTAAAGAACAAAGTCACAAAAAACTATTCTAACACCTGGGATAGTTTTCAAATAAAATATTAAAAATTTTCATCTGGGTCCAATGGACCCTGTTGCCCGGATAAGGGTTAAATATATCAGAAACGACAGAACAGATAGAAAAGGTATGGTCTGGAAGAAATTTCTGGAAGAAAATTTGTAATTAACTTTTTCAATGCAACACTCAGAGCTCAATGTGTTGAGTTAACTCAGTTAAAACTACTAAGATATTCCAAAACTCTCAGTCAACAAAACCTTTAACCCTTGAGCAATTGCACTTGAGTCAATCCACCTACTGAATCATACAAATGAAAACATTGTATTGAAGAGAAGGAACTTGAAACTCCCCAACTAAATATTTCAACAAACAATCTAAAGACATCGAATTTCATTGGTCAGGTAGCAAGGAATAACAAAAGCAACGTGAACGCAATGAGAATTGACTATAATGTTATATGAATGCATATAATGATTATGTTATATTTTTATATTTTGCATATTAAGTTCTGTCAGTCTTTTTGTAAAGAAAGCTAAAAATATAAAAATTGCGTAATTTAAGAAACATATTTCGACAAAGTGCACATTTAGTTAATCAACGCAGTCCCATGATAAATTCCCATATTTACAAAATTAAATAACACAGACCAAAGTTTGGCTGACTAATGTTCCAAAAACAGACAAGACCCAACATGAAAAAAGAAAGACCTTTATTATATCAATCTTATTTTCTATTTGTAATAGTCTGTACTAGGGTTCTAAGATAGTTGCATTTATGCTTCCTAAAGTCAAAATACACATTAATCAGTTTCTTTGACAGAGCTCAGTGTCAATATTAAATACATGACATACACAGTGATAGAAAAACAATATGCAATATCTCCATTCTGTATTATATAAAACATAAGTAGTCCTAAATGAGATTTTAAACCTGCTTTGCTTTATATAGGGTATGCCAACTTGAATACCCAAAACCAATCATTCATTCACTCACTCGATTAAAATAAGAAAACGAAGGGGGAATATTTAAAATGTATTTTAAGTTCCAAAGCCCAAAAATTGACAGGCCTACACCCGGCAAAAAAAACAACAAACAAACTGTAAATGGCACATACTTTCTGGCACTTTTAAATTAGCAATTCTCAAAAATTCAGAGATTTCAATGAATATGAGACTTGTGCCAGTCTTTTAAGCGACCTTCGTTCTATCCATGAAAAATTTGAGTTTTTGAGATTTTTGTCTTATAATTTGCACCTCAAACAGAAATTACATCAAAACTACTCATATAGAAACCTCAAATTATAGTTTTTGAAACCTTTTTTAAAGAATATCTTCAATATTTTACTTTTGCTATGTTAAAAGTTAACAGTTTTCGAATATTCAGAGTTTACCGAAAATGCGACAAGCACCATTTTCTAAATGAAATAAATTTAAAAGCAAAGTTAGTTTTGTTCACTCAAAAGTATTTGAACTGTTAAGTTCAGTTACTTTGAATTTACATGTTAACCAAACGGAACACGTCATTCGTACACAAAGAAGTGATATCTCAAAAATGGTCATTTTCTGGATAAGAATTACTCCAAGCAAAGACGATCAAAGAAAATTTTCAACCATATAAACCAACCAATCTTGATCAACTCGCTACGGTACGTTGCAATTTTCACACATCGCATGTTATGTTGCAGTGTCTAGTAATATCAAAGATGTATTGGTACATATACAGTACTTTTTTTGGATAATCCAAACAGACCACACTCTTAATTAGTTCGGATTACCAGGGTTCTACTGTATGCACATTAACAAAAATTCATAATCATTGAATGTTAATTCTGTGGACAATTAACATAAAATGCCTAAGAGGAGAAAGTACTAAAAGCTTGGGCAGATGCTCACAACTGTTGCAGAATAAATCACCTACATTTCACATCATTTAAAGAGATTTTCCTCAATTTTTTGAAGCAACAGCAAACAATACTCTGAAGAAACAATTCAAAATTACTTGATTTTGTTTTTATCATCCAAGACAATTTATTTTTAGAAAACATGTTTCAAACTATAATAATGGGGCATACCAAGGAAAAATTACTCACACTACTGAAGGTGAAATAACAAGTGAATGATTGCACAGGACTATGAAATACCCAGAGATACAAGGAATATGGTACGCTATTAACTTTATATTAGATTCAGCAGCTGTAATTTGAAACTTACATTCTCGCATGTCGAACTCGTGATTTCACTATTCGTCCTTGATTCATAACCATTGTTTTATTTTCTTGAGGCACAGCAATTGTTGTATTAGTTCCTGATGTACTGGGTTCTTCTTTCACCAGAATCTTTTTATTTGTTTTTTTGTTCTGCTTCTTCATTTTCATGGCTTGTATGGCGTTTATTCCTATGATAAAATATTAGTAAGTATATATCATACATTTCAAGATTTACAATGCAATTACTATCACAAATACAAACGCAGAATTTCATACAATGGACGGTTAAAAAAACACAAGTTTTAAAAAGAGGTATGGAAAAATGAATCATTCAAAACTCACTTTCGATAAACGTTTGGTGACGTAATTTTCTTCGTTCCTCTTTACTCGCTCCTCTGTTTTTAAACACACTTTTACTCACAGAAATAGTGGTCCTTGCGTCATCGTTTCTTGAATCGAATTTATTAGTGGGAAATTTGGAATAAATGTCATCAAAAACATACGACTGAGGCAGGAGGGCAAGGCTTGCTGCAAGGTTATTTGTTTCACTCGAAGATCTTACACCGTCTCTTGGATCGAGTCTAGCGGTAGGAATTTTAGAAATATCAATACCTTTGAAAATATTATCAAATGACTCTGGTAAAGGAGCAAAGCTTGGTGTGATATATTCATTTTCGCTTGACTTATTCTTTTCAAGGTGCAATCGAGGTGGAGGGCCGTCCGGATTCTTCGAGAGATGATATTTTTTTCTTTGCCTTCTAATTTTGCCCATTTTTTAGATTATTAACACGAACACAACAGAAGTTCTAAGAAATTTCAACGTCAATTACGAGTTACGTTTCAAAAGGAACATATTTACAAACTAATCAATATTTGAAGAGATGATTTCACCACAAATTAAATAAAATGGTCAACAATCCACCAGTACGTCACAAATCACACTTCTAAGGAATTTTACTAGCGAAAATCCACCCTCAGACTCCTTGCTACTCTTGCTCACAAACCGCACGTGTACAAAATTAAGATACATTGTGCAGCAAAAAGTAAAAAGAGTACCGTATAAGCCAAAGAGGTTATAATATATTATAACTTCCGTGATATAAGCACAGAGCATGAACACCCAAAGCTGAAGCATGAAAGAATATACAATAGGATGGGAAACTCTCGCTGTTTGAGAGTATGGACTAGAGGATTCGCTAGCGTCGTTTTCATATAGCGGCATCAATTATAAGATTCACCCGCCAATTTCAAACGCTACTTCGAAAATTGGTTTGTCAAGAAGCGGCTCGTGTTTACGAAACTTGTAGAATTTCATTTTTTCCTTGTGGAGAGGGAGTTGCACATGGCAACGTGTTTGTTTGTGACATTTCACTTGCGAGCGATGTTTCGTGTGCTTTGTTGCAGATCACATTTGTGCAGATCACTTGCTTTGCACGTGCTTTGTTGCAGATCACTTTGTTTCGTGTGTTTTGTTGCAGATCACAACAAAATGTTGAGATCCAGTATTTGCCAACGCTGTTCGGCACAATAAAGAGAAAAGTTTCGTCACATTTCGCTCTCGACCGGGAAGGTGAGTGAAGTATTTCGAGTTATGATAACGAGTTACAGTAGGCTAGTGGGAAATAAATAGTTGCCTGTTGCATTTGTATGTTTTATCAAATTCATTAAAAAAATGCATTTGCCAGCCATACGACCCAATTGAAACAACAAATTAGTTTATTGTTATCAAGTGTATCGACTTTAGTTAATAACCTTTTTTTAGATTTAGATTTATTCAGTAAAAACTGTGTGACGTAGGGGGGAAAGATTATCTGAGCATGTTTTCTTGAATTCCAGAATCCCTTCCCGTCATTTTAACTATAAATAGTTGAAAGTTGAGTAAAAGTTTAACATAAACAAATAAAATAAATAAATTTTAAAAATCGTAAGATTAGCAATATTTGAAAAATAGGCATTTTCGTTTCTGAGTTATAGAAAACTTATTTGCATCGGTAAACGAATTGCAAGTATGATTTTTCTGCATTGCTAACAAAATAGCAACTCGCCCTTGTCTCTACTCTTACCGTTACAAGCAAAAGGAGAGTTCAACAAAACGTGCGCATAGTGAAGCTACATTTACGTCCAGAAGCAAAACAAGGGGCCATCTCAGCATTTGCTCAATGGATCAGGGAAACTGGACAAAAACCTGATCGAGATGGGGGTCATTGACCCGGGAGTTACAAACACATTTAGTCTTTTAAAAAATTATGCAATACAAATGTAAACTAATTCATTATATATCACTGTTTGTTATAATAAACATTTTTCTTTTTGATAATCAGTATAGTTTCTAATGGTATAGAAACAGTTATGCAGCAGAAAAGATTTTACTATTAACTTCAATTTTTGAACCTACTTTAATTGTTCATTCATTTTCATCTAGTATGGTGTCCTTTCGTACGTTTCAGACAACTTAAGAGCTTTAGAAGCCATCATTTTATAAAAGTAATGCGCAAAAATGTAACATCCGTAATATACAAGGTCTGAGAATTATTGGTGTATTGTTTCTGCATGAGATTTTTCAAATATATTTTCATTATAGGTACCAAAGTGACTCCGGTTCTACAACCTGATGTGTAGAATCTGGTCAGCTGGAGAGTCAGAGAAGAAAAGAACTGAATTGCATGAAAATACCCTCGAGTAAGACAGTTTTGAGGAATACCACTGATTTGTAAATAAATAGGCAAAGCAATTGTATTTTAAGCTTAATAAAAGTTTCTTTTGTACAAAAATTGTCACTAACTTTCCACAAAAAATGTGTACTTATTTGCAATTCTAACTGAATAAAAGTCTACAAATCTTGCCTGTTTATTACCCATTCAATTTATGATCTGAATGAAAATGTGATGAATTAAAAAACATAACATGCATTTTAAACTAACAAATTATATTTGTATTAGGATAGGCATCTTTTCCAACTAAACTGCAGGTCTGTAAGAGGAAAAAGAACCATAAGGTGCAAATGACATGCTGTGTGTGGATGAATGAATATAACCGAATCTCTTCCCCTATCAACAATCTTGGGGAAGGAATTCATGGAAATTTGTAATAATTTTTAATGGCGGTGCCAAAGTAATGAGCTTTATTGACTAATGTAATTCAATAATTACAAATTTCAAAACCACATCTTATTAGGCTTAATAAAATGTTAATGTTATGATATTCATACAAACTCCAAATGTATTTGTTTTGAGGTACTTAGGTAAATGTTAGGTCTGATTACATGATCATTTTCTAAACTATTTGACATGGATTATCACAAAATGCAAATACACTCCTAGATTGCATTTTCCTTAGAAGTAACTTGATGAATGCTGTTTGATTACATAATTCAATTGATAGAGTTGTATGCAGACCCTGGGATCTGATGCAAGAGGTAAAATAAAATTTGCATTTTGGGACAATCTAGCTTTACTATGATTATTTGGTGTATTAGTAGTTTTACAGTAATGACAAAAAATGTTTCTAAAGACAAAGTACATCTAATCCAATGTGCAAGTTATTGATGTTGATATCAAATCATTTATGTCAATTGTACCACATAAAAAGAAGGATGTTTTGGGTGTAACTCGAAAAGTTGGAGAAAAATAATAATTGTATTAACACGGATATGTGTGAACATCAAGATTTGTTTAAATAATGAAATGATGTAATGTCTGCAATACCAGATTATTCATCTGAACCTGTGTTGTATTGCTCTGTAATATTATGTAAAATTGTTTTCAGAATATATTTTATGAATAGTATAAACAGACATGTTTGTTTTTATAATTGCCAACCGATTCATCCCAACCCACATTAATTATTTTATTTTTAAATAGGCTCAAAATTAGTTTAATACGTTATAATATAGAAGTTAATATCTACATTGGATGTTCAAATAGTGGATTGAGTACTGTGCTTGAGGCTGTTGCTTTAACGCTCAAGAAGTACCCATTCTGGCCGCAGGGTGCAGTGTTGTCGATTTAATAATAATAATTTAATAATAATAATAATAATAATAATAATAAATACAATAATAATAACATTAATAATAAAAATAATAATGATATAAAACCTGTCTAATTCATAAAACATTTAAATTACCCTAAAAAAAGAAACATCTATAATCAAACTGAATTTTGTTCAACTTCACTTCACTTCACTTCACTATATCCCTTTAATCAGTTTCTACATTGGTTTTCTGTTCTACACTGCACGACACCTCACTTCACAATATATTACTTATGCATCGCTTTATAACATACTATTCTCAGTTATGTCCCTCATTTATTTAGTAATACCCTAAATTAATTTCCTAAACTCTTGAACGCTACGATGAAAAGGTTCAAAGGGTTTTGCAGGCAATGTATTCCATTCTTTTATTGTTCGATTTGTAAAAGAAAATTTCCCCACATCTGTTCTCTGCGGTCTTAAATTTATTTTGTGCCTGTGATCCCCTCCACTGGTGTATGTAGGATTACTTAGCCGCCGATTAACTCCTTTCCAAGCTGGATGACCACTATAATCTTTATACAAAGCGCAGAGCCTTGCTACCGATCGCTTATTTTAGAGTGAATTTCATTTTGCCATTTTCTTGTCCCTGAAAGTAAATTTAGCTGATCTACGCTGAATTCTTTCTAAATTTTTACACTGCATAATTTTGCGCGGATCCCTACAAATTGTTCCATATTCCATTATCGCACGAACAAGTGATAAATAAGCAATTTCCTTCGTGTTTGCCGTTCTCTTTTTTAAGGTATGCATTACAAAGTGAAGAGATCTCCAGTCTTTCCCTACCACAAAATCTACGTGACTTTCCCTGCTTCATTTACTATCGAAATGGATTCCTAGTAATGTAACGCATCAAGATCCTGTTGCAACATTTCTTCGTCTTCTTTCGAATTCATACTACGATATATTATGCAATCGTCTGCAAATAGCCGAACATATGATATTAAGTGCGCTGGCAGATCATTGACGAACGGTAGAAATAGAAGAGGTGCAATAACACCCCTGCGGTATTCCTGACGTAACGCTTGCCCCGGTAGAAAAATTATGGCCAATTTGCACTTTCTGTTTTCTGTCTCGCAGAATCTCGCTAATCCACGCCACCACACTGAAATCTATACCTGAATTCATTAATTTATGTACAAGCCGATCGTGGGGTCCGACATCAAACGCTTTGGCCAAATCTATAACTATTGCGTCTACTCTTCCGCCCGCGTCAGTTTCATCTGCTAGATCCTGAAATAGCGTGGCTACCTGACTTTCACATGAATAAGCACTCCTGGAGCCGTGTTGGCCATCATAGAGTCATTTTTTGATTTCCCACTCTTGCTTAATGTAACTGGCAACTAGATACTCCATAAGTTTGCAGACCACTGACGTAAGACTTACCAGCATATTATTATTTAATATAGTTTTAAAAATTGGTACAAGAGCTAATTTCCAATGGTAGTGCCACACGAGTTTCCCCTATTCTATACTCCTCAATGCACGAAGTATGTAGCACAGTATAATCATAGATTACATAATATATTTAATAATTACTATTATTGACACCAAGATGCACAGCTTCTATGTTCTTGCAAATACCTTCAGAGCGCTCTACTGTCGTGTGATGGTACCGCTTCTTTGGCCTCCACCGTCACAAGACCCGCCAAATTCGAATTACAGAGATTACCGACAAATTACTGAAAGGAGCTAGAATATTTGAAAGAAAATACAGCTAATGCAGTTTGTATTTGTTACAAAATTAAATATAACCAGTTGTTTTGTTGTTCATGATTAACAATCTTGAATAATGTAATGAATTAGTAAGCAAAGTTAACACAAAAAGTAAAAAATCCAGAAAACAATCCATTAGCTTCTTCTTAACAGATAACTAACAAATTAAAACAAACTAATTCTTTGTGTTGTCAGCATTTGTCTATTCCATTTACAATTGTCATGGGGCTTGATTAATACAAAGGAAAACAAAATAAAGTAATATTTATGAATTTTATTGTTATATACTTAAAATTTCCAAACATTACACATTGCA